CATTAGAGTTGGTGTCATTCATTCGAATCTATCACAGGAGCAGGTAGAGTTCCATTTATATGGTCAAGCTTGCATTCTTTGGTAATCAATAATGTGAAGAAGGAAAATCAAGGAAGATCCTGGTGCCCACTATTGCAGGGCCTTCCAGAACTCTGCTGAATCTGTTTCATTGTTTGTGGCGTTTAATATTATAGATTCCTATTACTTAGTTATCCTAGCAGTTACAGTACTTTACACTAGTCTTTTTCACTTGAACTCAGCGAGAGAGTGTAATCGATGACTTCAGAGCTGGAAAGACATGGGTTTTGATTGCAACTGATGTGCTTGGTCGGGGTATGGATTTCAAAGGTGTCAAGTGTGTAATTAATTATGATTTCCCAGATTGTGCTGCTTCATACATTCACAGGATTGGTATGTTTCTGAACCTCTGGATACCTCCTATGTCTATATGTGAGGTGATTGCATATAAGTTCATTAAAGTCCAACAAAAATGGAAGAAGCCATAACCATGTTGTGAGCACCAATAACAGTGAAAGATATTTTGATCCAATTTATCAATCTGTTAGCCTTGGGCATTGAACTGTCATTTATTTTAAGAAGATTCCTTAATTTCCTCACTTTCACTGTGCCTTGAGTGTCTTTAATTCTGATTTTGTATGATTTTCATCTGATAGTCCCTTACATCCATTTCAAGTAATTATTTTTAGTTATAGTATGGAATTAAATCGCCTCTGATTTCTGAGTCCTGTGGATTTCTAGCATTCAAAGAGCTCTTAACACTTAATTGTAGAAAAGCAATAATTGTTGATTCATTTACAAGGATTGTGTTTTTGTTGACAAATAGAAAACTAATGCTGCTAAACTTTCTTGATTTATCAAATAGGTCGGTCGGGCAGAGCGGGGAGGATTGGTGAAGCTATTACTTTCTACACGGAACATGATATTCCATATTTGCGAAACATAGCTAATGTGATGACTGCTTCAGGCTGTGAGGTTCCATCTTGGCTCATGGATATGCCCAAAAAGAAGTGGAAGAAGCACTGTCCTCGAAGAGAATCAATCTCAACAAAACCAAAAGATCAGGAAGAATGAAACAGTATTGGAGCAAACTTCAGAGAATTTAGTGTTTTGTTTTTCGGAGACAGGGTAGCAATCTGTTGCTTTGAATCTCTGCCACCATTTTGTCCCATGATTCGCACCTACAGTTTGTTGTCAATCTTGAAGAATTAAAAGTTGTGTTCACTTTCAGAAAGTAGTATTTCAATTTACATCTCTAGTTTTTCTATTTATTCTAATGAGCTTTTTCCTGAGAATTAAGGAAGCATGTTTATTAAATACATTTTTTTAAAATAAAAAGCATCTTGTTTGATTTCATTTGAAATATTAAAAGAAATAACTCTTTAAGATATTGAACAATCAAATAAGGCTTCTTTTTTTATAGAAAAATAATCATTTTTGTGTTTTTTAATTTTTGGAAAAAAAGGAGAATTAGAAAACATGAATTTTCAATAAAATAATTTTTATTATTCGTAAGTAAACACAGGATAGGTTGCTCGGAGCTAATTTTTAATGGGAAAAAAGCTAGCAAGTTTGGCAAGCACACCAAAAAGGCAAAAATGCTAACCAAGCATGAACGAAATCAATCAAAGCACGATGTGTTTTAAGAATTTAGGCAAGTGCATTGTTCGACAACGACATTGATAGAGAATCAACAACAGTGGCAGTGGATTGCATACTAACAATGCCCAGCCAGGATGCGGCACAAAGTCCAATCCAAGAAAAAAACAACGAAGGTAGAGGGTTGCCTAGGAAGCTAAAGAATAAACGTTGGCTGTGATTGCTCGCCATTTTTCTCACGGAAGTGTAGATAGAGCAGCCATTCATTTGTTCCTCAGCTCCTCAGCGAATGGACTCAAAAGTCAAGAGCTAGTAATCCTACAATGAAGCCACGTTATGAGTATCACTTACAAACGTACGTAGTAGAGAAATGTGAAAGCAGTGTGTTGTGGAGCTTGTGTGGATTAATAATGAAGTTGCCAAATAAAAAAAAAAGAGCAACAGTTATAGGAACCCATCTGCTCTTCAATACTTTGTTGTGCAAGTTGTTGATTTTGGCCGCTAAAAATGACCACAACATCAGAAATGGAGGAGCTACGATGATGATGATTATTATTATTATTTGAAGACCACTATTGGTGATGAAGCTAGGAGAAAAGGACTTGTAAGAATCTTGCAATTCTTGTAAACAATTGTTGTTTCTCGGCTTTGCAGCAAGATTTGGAAAACCAAATGGGTTGAATTCTTCATCATCGTCATCAAAAGTCAAAGAGGTTAAGCACTCAAAAGGGCTTTCATAATTCTCATTGATGTTGCTACTGCTGTTTCTGTTTGTAGTGGTAGTAGTGGCAGTGGTGCAATTGCTTACTATTGCATACAAATCCCACCGCTGATCCTCTGCCATTGAAAACTCAATCTATCTAGAAATCCTAACTAATATCTGTCCATTTTTACTGATTCTAAAGGCAAGAAAAGAGTAAATGCAAGACATAAAGGACTACACTGACTTTTAAGACTGAGAGATAAAAGAAATGATAATGGTGTAGTAGTCGTGTCAAATATCAAGCATGCATGGTTTGCGAGGCAAAAGAACACAACAAGAAAAACAAAGATGTAACAAACGCCAGCGCCAAGCTAACAATTTCTCATCCATAAAAAATTAAAAAACCTATAGAAGGGCAGCTAAGACGATCAATTAGGGCTAGTTCAATGTCTCATCTGTCTCCTTCAAATCTCCATTCCAAACCATCACAACTTGCACAGATGTAAGGCAACAGGGAAATATGGCAGTGCAAACCATGGGGAACAGAACTTGGGAGAGGCATTTGGTGTTGAACTGTTAAGCCCTGCTTTTATTTGCTGTGAAGTACGAGAACTTGAATTTGTTGTCACGTTTCAAATATAAATCTTGTTATGATTTACAAGAATGTGAAGGACACATTTATGACTTCCTTGCGAAGCACGCAATTATTGAACTTCATAAGAAAATACCCCAAAATGAAAGAAAACAATGTCCACCGCATTAACGGGGACTCATCTAATATAAAAATTAGGTCGGCCATATGAGCGGGAACTAATGTAATAAAATAAAATTGGCTGCGTGGCAGCTTCATGACAATGACCGGAGACTATTTTGATGACTTAAGTTGGTGGCAACAATGGGATAATTGTTTTAGATATAAGTTGACCACAACGGCACAATAATTATGTGAAATTTAAATTCACCGCGACGATATATAGAATTATTGTTTGAAGTTTAAATTTACTGCAACAATGTAATTATTTTGAAAAATTTAAATCATCCATGACAATTGAATTAATATTTTAAGATCTTAATGGGTTGCAACGGTGGACATATTTTTCAAGATTTTAAATAGATTGCAATGGCAAGTGATGATATAAGGTCGAAGTCTAAGTTACAATTATTTAAAAAAAATGGGTGATTATGAATGATGGAGAATATAAACTATAAATTATAAAAAATAAATTGATGTGAATAAGGTTAACGAACAACACAAGTTATAAATATAGAGATAAATTAATAAAAAAATTATCTTAGAGATAACGAATCTCTAATCTTACTGTTGTGGCAATTTAGATGTATGAAATCTTAGAGATTTCATGTTGAAGAATTATAATTTGAATAGATTGGACAACATGGCATATAATATATATAGCTAACTATAAATTTTTTGTTAGATAATTTTTGTTTATGTAAAAAATTGTTAAGAATTTATTTATAAACATGGTTAAATTTAAAGTGGAACCCACTCGTTTCTATGATTAAAATTTTGTTGGAAATTATTCTATAATAAAAAAACCTTAACATGTAACATTAACTTATTTAAAATAAATAATAGGTGAATTTAAATTAATTTCAAAGAATATTTGTTTGTAAACTTAAAAACCCTTAATCCAATATTAAAAGATTACAAGATTTTCTAGTAGCTTATATAAGTAAAATTAATGAGTTAAAATTAGGTTTGCAGAGCATAAAATTTTTAGAGAAAAGAGATCGTATGTTAAGTATGACTTGGGCTTAAATTACATGTTCACACCCACTTAAAATATTATGGCATAGCAAGGGTACAAGCCGAGATTCAAACCCAAGGTCCGAGTCTAGGATTGGGTTTTGGTTTGAATTTAATGTAAATTAACTTTTTAGTTTATAAGGAATTCTTTTTTTTTTTCTAATAATGAATAAATAATTTTAACAATAACCTTTCTCTTTCTAAATAGTTTATTTTTAAAGGAAAAATATATGATATTTTAAGATATAAAACCATCATGTTTTTTTAAGACAAAATAATTAAGAAAAAACAACATGAACAGCGAGAATTTTCTCTAGTAATTACCATAATTCATTTCTCAATAGTAATGGTTTCAAAAATCAATATAAAAAAGTTTGAATGAGCGAATGCTTCTATTCATGGAGCTTAGTTCCCTGTTGTCTAGATGAAATCATGATCTGTAGTTTTCACCAATTAAGACATGGAAAAGATGAAGAAGAAGACAATTATCATCATAGTCTGTAATTTACATTTGTTGCCTTCTTTCACCAAACTTACGTTAAAGTGAGGAAATTATTCAGCCTGCTTCATCGAAACTATTCGGATTTTTTTCATTTTACGGCTTGGATTGGATTGTGATGTGGAACAACTTGAAAGTGAAAGATCAGATTCATGCACGTCCCTAGCTAGTTGTCGTGTGTTGTTTCCTCCTTCGCTACCGTCTATCAGAGATTACTGAAATAACTCTAATTATCAGAAACATGAATATTTTAGAATCGATAGCCAAATATTTGAATTTTTAGGAATTCTCTCTAGAAATTCTAAGAATTTGTGTGCCAAAGTTGCAACCTATACATCAACTATAAGCTACGCACACCTTGTACTTATGTATTGATGCAGGGGTAGCTATATAAGAAGTCATTTTTTTTCTAATTTCTTTTAATGTATGCATCCTTTTATTCATTTATTTGAGAGCACGAACTCTTATTACAAAGCTAGATAGGCCTGTCTTTGCCCCTTAGCTTAACGAAGGTAGAAAAACTCAACGAAAGCATGCATACAGTACATGATGGATATTATAAATACATCATCTTTTTAGACATTTCTGGTAGGAAATTTGTAGTCTGCGCATTTGGTCCCCTTAGACAAAATTGATGAACTGAAACCCAGTTTCTTTGACTGTAGATCGATTTGTAGCAAATTGTCCTCCAACTGAAGACCACCAATAATGATCGATGGGCCATCAATCCCACCATCCACAAAACCCAAGCACCAAAGATCAACACTCTTCTTTGTAACCCTCACCATAGAGTTTGATCCAAACATCTTCCAAACCACATCTTGTCTATCCAACACAAGTTCGATTAATGGTACAGCCGGTCCCATTTGTGTAGTCTTCACAGCACCTACAGGGTAGCAGACTCTGAATGGCTTGACAGGCTTTGTTGTAGTAAGATTGAAAGCAGAGGAAGCTGCTTCCTTCAAGAAAGCTAGAGTAAAAGCCTTGTAAATAGAACTCTGTAACTTTGTGTATGGCACAAGAGTGCTGATCCTGGTCCCCCCAGAACCAGACTGATCATCAATGGCCAACAGCGCTTTGTTAAAAGCCACCATCTTTCCGTTCACTTTTATTGAAGTCAGCCCTACATAATATTCAGGAGAGAGTCTGTGGGTATTTGGATCAGAATCTCTTCCAAGCGGGTTAAAAATAAGAGGAGTGTAAAGAAGTGATTTTGAGAGGTCAATTCCATGCAAGAAATTATAAGGCCCTTTACTACCGAAAAGAACCACACCAGGTTGAGAGTTGCTACAAGTTTGAGAGCAGATAGTTCAATTGTTGTGACTGGACCTAAATGATGAAAAGTTTCATTATCTCAACCGGGGTCTTCACTTTGACCTACATTAAAATTGATGACCTACACAGGCGGTGAACTTCTGCTCACCACCTTCTTACTCTCATGAGCATACTGGAATGGGAAAAGATTGTAGTTGATCATTCTCCACTATTGATGCCAAACACATTGTTTGGATTGTAAATTCTCCATCAGACAACTAACTCATCAATTTACAGTATTTCTCTTCCAAAAAAGAGATACTAAATTGCCTATTGGGCTTATTTTGTGACTTCTCTATTTCTGTGCCCAATCCACTAGGTTTCCTGCAGTTACACAATTTCCTTCAAACATGAAATTATGAAACCTGTGTGGCGATTGTAAACTTGACTTGGAAGACTGGTAGGAATTTATACGTCACCCTGTCTGGCTTTTGTGGTGGTTAGTATCCCACCAGTGGTTCAAAATGACTAAGCCTGTATTTATTAATATGTTCATTTAAACCTCTTAGAAAGTAGTTGTAGTGTTTTAGAAAATAAAAATCATTTCAATATGGGAGTTTAAGGTATCTGAATTGACATGGTGAGTCCTTTTGATATTGCTCATTTATGTTTAATTATTACTGCATATCATCTCATGTTGATCACTTCAATGCTGTCAGATGACAACAGCTATTGCAGTTGAGGATGTAAGAAGGGAGGTCAGGATATTGAAGGACTTGACAGGACATAACAATTTAGTGCACTTCTATGATGCATTTGAAGATCTTGACAACGTCTATATAGTGATGGAGTAAGTGGAAAATACAAAGCAACTTAAACTTAAAATCATGTGTTGTTTTTCTTCTATAAACATATTGATAACTAATTGTGGTGCAGCATGCATCTCCTGGACAATTTTTCTGAGGACCATTAAGATTTTCTAGTTTAGTCAAAACATTGTTTTGTGATCAAATGATGATATGCTTATTCGTATGTTTAGTTTATGACAAACATGGATATGTATAAGAACAAATCAATAAGAAAATTACTTGCTGCATGCGTGAATTCCTTAAGAGATCTTTGACCTCCTGAAAGTTGATTACTGGATATGGATATTTCAGGCTATGCGAAGGAGGGGAGCTCCTAGATAGAATACTTTCAAGGTGATTCTTCTAGCAGAGGATAAATCAAAATCTGAATTGTGCATTTATGTTTTCCTATGTTCCTCATTGCAGCTTCTAACTAAGTACTCTGATATCGTTTTAGGGGTGGGAAATACTCAGAAGACGATGCGAAGGCTGTTATGGTGCAGATACTAAATGTTGTTGCATTTTGTCATCTACAGGGTGTTGTGCACCGAGATCTCAAACCAGAGGTGGAACATACCTGTTCCCTCTTCATCTCTTTTCTTTTTAGTGTGAGAATCATATGAATGCAGAAAATATGTTTACCCCTTCAAACACAATGTTCATAGGAAATTCAGATGTGGATAGTCAATTTTTTTATGATTTTTCTGGAATGTAAAGTGACCTGATGAGGTGATGTTTGAAAATGGAGGAATGTGCTAGTTCCGAAGAAGAATGATGCATTACAGACAAATTGCACTGTTTTCCAAGCATGCAAATGCTGTTTCTTCATGCTTGCATTGTTAAACAAAGCATCACCTCACTCTCATGGGCTAAACATGTGGGCTATGTCCATGGGCTAGGTTTTGGGGTTCCCCACTTGCATCATACTTATAAAGTTAAACAAAGAAAAAGTAAACACAACTGGCGCATGTCATTTCCTATGTGAGATCATTTTGCTTGCCATCTCATATCTTTTCTAAGAATATATTGCATGATTGCTTTGTGTCCTCGTTATCTATTTTCCTCTTTCATAATTTAAGTTCATCCATTCACTTGGTCAGAACTTTCTATATACTTCTAAGGAGGAGAACGCTCAGCTGAAAGTTATAGACTTTGGCTTATCAGATTTTGCCAGACCAGGTTTTTTACTTGCCTGGATCTCGTCCTACTTGACCTTGGGTGTTTGAGTGGGTGTTTAATGCCCTTGGTGTTTTGCAGATGAAAGACTTAATGACATTGTGGGAAGCGCATACTATGTGGCACCTGAAGTTCTACATAGATCCTATAGCACTGAGGCTGATGTATGGAGTATAGGTGTGATAGCTTTCATTCTTTTGTGTGGTAGTCGTCCATTCTGGGCCCGGACCGAGTCTGGAATTTTTCAGGCAGTCTTGAAAGCTGATCCCAGTTTCGATGAAGCACCTTGGCCCACTTTATCTCTAGAATCAAAAGACTTTGTTAAACGCCTATTAAACAAGGATCCAAGGAAACGAATTACTGCTGCTCAGGCTTTGAGTTAGTACTTCGCTTACTCTCTTGTAGTTCAGTCTTTACCTCTTCATTAGGAGCCATGCTTCATTATCTTTTGTTTGCAGGTCATCCTTGGATCCGGAATTATAATGATGTAAAAGTACCTCTTGATATTATGATATTCAGGCATATGAAGGCATACATGCGGTCATCATCTCTGCGTAAGGCTGCTTTAAGGGTGTGTATTCATTTATGTGGCAAAATAACCAAAGAAAGTCTATAACTTGTACCCGTTGGTAGTACACATCTCATAGTCTTTAAGCCATAGTGTGTTTTGTAATTTGTGTCTTTAGCTTGTAAATAATGTAAGATCCACTTTTCCTCTATGTCTTCTCTTTAATATTGACTCCACATTCAATCTTATTGAGGCTTTTGTTCAAATGAAGTTCCAGTAAAACCACAGCAGACTATCTTGATTTCAAGTTCTCTTGCAATAAAAAACGGTAAGCTTTGTCACTTACCCTCTAATTAACCTAGAACCCTCTTTTTTGGCATTGTCTTGCAGGCATTGTCTAAGACATTGACAGCGGATGAACTATTTTATCTGAAGGAGCAGTTTGCTTTGCTAGAGCCAAAAAAAAGTGGCATCATAACTTTGGAAAACCTTAGGATGGTTGGTGTTCTCTTCTCTTTTATATCTGCGATGGCATGACCACATGACCTTATAGTGAAAAGCTTTGTGCCACTCGTTTTATATTCTGCAGGCCTTGATGAAAAATGCAACAAATGCAATGAAGGATTCTCGCGTCCCTGATTTTCTTGCCTCGGTATATGTCAGCATTTAGTTGTTGCTTACTTTAGATGATCACGTGCTTTTAGTTCGATGTACCCGGGCCTTAATTTTCATTTCATGACAGCTAAATCCACTTCAATACAGAAGGATGGATTTCGAAGAATTCTGTGCAGCTGCATTGAATGTTCATCAGCTGGAGACACTAGATCAATGGAAACATCTAGCCCGTTCTGCATATGAGCTTTTTGAGAAGGATGGAAACAGAGCAATTGTAATTGAGGAGCTTGCTTCAGTAAGTTGGAATTCTAACATGTTTGGGAAGGCCTGATGATTCATGATATATTTATTACTACTGCCTGCTTTGAGCACCAAACTAAAACCTCAACAAACTTGATATCTCATGAGCTTATACTGACATCTTAAACTTTAGCTTTTAAAATGTCTAAAATGTGATCAGTAAATGGTTAGTGATGGTCAAATGCGGATAACCTATCTAGAGACTGGCCTTTGAAGTATTAATGAATGATGGCTGTTCTTGTGTAAGTAGTCTCTAGTACTTGAATAGGAACAAGAAGAAATTAAAGGGTTAAGTAGTCGCATTTAGTTTGCTTAAATGCCATCTTTTTCATGTCTTTGTAGCTCACGCGTCAAACTGTGTGCATTGCATGGTATACCAGCATTTTAGGAGGATTCAAAATTGGATTTTTTAACTGCAAGGTTATCAAACTGTGTGCTAGTCGCATTTAGTTTGCTTAAATGCCATCTTTTTCATGTTTCTTTGTAGCTCACGTCAAACTGTGTGCATTGCATGGTATACCAGCATTTTAGGAGGATTCAAAATTGGATTTTTTAACTGCAAGGTTATCTGCGCTAGTAAATTTACCCTGTGGACTCTGGGAAGGGACAAGCCTACCGAGATGTGTATCTATGTTTTCACTAACAGTCTGACAAAACACTAGCACTTCTGCAGTAATTTTGGGATGCAACTAGACATTTCACCGTGCTAAGCTTTCACAAATTGTTGTTTCAGGAACTTGGGCTTGGCCCCTCCATCCCAGTTCATGCCGTTCTCAATGACTGGATAAGACATACTGATGGGAAGCTAAGCTTCCACGGGTTTGTCAAGTTGTTGCATGGCACATCCAGCCGAACCATTGCTAAGGCACAATAAAGAGCTACTATATCTATGTTCTGTTGGATGTGCTGCTTATTCTTTGCTTCTAGGGCAAAAAAGAACAAAGAAAAAAAGTGTGGTGTAAAATCTAAGATGCTCACATTAGTAGCTGAAGATCTGGAGCTTCGTTGAGCATACCTATTAGAGCATCGCTCCCCTCATGTCATCTCTGAGGCGTCTGAGCCATTCCGAATGTGAGTGACCATGAAGATCACTGCTATCGTTGTGTAAAGATATATTTCAGGTTTTTTCCAAACAGGCAAGGAAATTTTCTTGTTCCCGCTATGGATGCTTCACACATATCAAATGTTGTTCCTAATCATTGTTCTTAATTAATACATGGTTGTTTTGTTTAGCTTTCAACATCGCTTCATCCATATCCTTTAATTATGAGTCCAAACTAGTTCATAAGCACAAGCACAGAAATTAAAATGACTGATTAGTCTTTCATTAAGGGATAAATCTAATTTCTTACATTTCATTTAGTAGGGTGGGCCTATCGTCTTTTTGGAAACTACCCATCCATGTTCCAATTTGGAGTTAATTCAACAAGGGAGATGCTGATTCTCTCAACACCAAATCAGCAGGCCACTATAGAAAAAGTTTCTTTCACTTGAATATTTAGTTATTAGATGCCTGGTACACACCTCGGCTTCTTCTAAAGTCCATTCCTCCATAACATCCACCAGGGAAATAAAGATCGGAATGTTTCAATGACTGCTTGTTCATTGATGCCGTTAATCCTAAGCTTTTCGTAATGTTCATCACTCTGAATAAAACAAGTTGAGAGTCCTGAATCTCGGAAGTTTTCTCGGTAAAGCAATAAAGATTCGAAGTGACCTTTTTTCTCGACTTGTAGTTCCAAGTCTCGTTACCGTTATAGTCCACCACCACCCGTATATTAAACCTATCATAGGGGGACTGGATATCACATATAACCAGGAATCTTACAGGGTCAATGAAATAGTTCCAGAGTTACGAAGTTCGGAGGGTAGGGGAATTTGCCGATGTTTCTCCTTTACAATACTGAAGGCACAAATTTGTGCACTAATCTGTTCAGGAAAAAAAATCAGCGTATGCCATCAATCAATACATAACTCCATTCAAAGTGACCAAGGACTCATCATCACAATATGAATATGGAAGAAATCCCATTCTTCTACACGGATGTTGCCTAATTTTTGTATTGGTTAGTCTCTAGATCTCCAAATCGAAAAACCTGCATGGTACATGTCATTTCTTCATCTTTTGGGAGAGCAACAAATCCTCTCCGGATTGGATTGCATGTATAAAAAGTTATCAGGACTGATTTTTTCATAGAAACAAAGCAATCCATTGAAAAATTTACTCAGCAGGGATAACTATGGTCGTACTAAATATTGACGTCGATTTTATAGAAGGTTTTGAGGACAAGCAGGGATAGTTTTGCTTCTCTCATTAACTCTACCAAGAGACTATAGCGATCAGCTGTAAAATTCTTTTCCCCACATTGCAAGAATAGCCATATGATACCATGTTTTTCTTCCTCCTAGTTTTCTCAAACAATCCTCTTCATATAATTTGAAATTTGCTACCGGGTCATCAAGGTTTGCATGGATCCATCCCGTGTTTGCCGGGTTGTCAAGGTTTTGCTGCCGGGTCATCAACCTATTTCACACACGATGCATTATAGATATCTAACAGCTATCTTTTGAAAATATACATTGAGGCTGCTTGTATTCATCCGCCTCAAAGGCATCTTGATGGCCGGTCTTAACTTACTTGACCTTTTCTTCAGCCATTGGTTATGATATTTTGCTGGTATCTCATAGTTTGAATAATGGTTTGTCAGATCAAAGGAGATGCAGATGCGGAAGCTGACATTCTCCCTGGGGCGCCTTGCTGACGCGCTACCATTCTCTGAAGCATTTCTTCTCATTCAATTGGGCCATCTAGTTCAATGGCTCAAAGTGGCTACCTCAAGATTTATATCTAATTCTTCTTAGGACGCAATGCCACGATTAACGCCAATAATTACGGTTGTGAGAATTGCACCCTAACTTCCCTCCATTAATGCTGTTAACCAGGCAATGGAAAGGAATCACTAGGATTTGGTGGATTTATGTAATTTCCCAGTGGTTGCAATGTTAGCTTTATTGTTCCACATCAGATATCCTGCTCTGATGAAGAGCAAAACCAATATTTCACGGTCCGTGGTGTGAAGAACAAATTTAGAATCAAACTTGACCGGTCAAGAGAGCAAAACAACTGCTAGGCTACCAGAAACATTCATATAATTCGATTTCAGTTAAACAGTCTCGCAGAAATTGAATCCCATAGCAAACAAGCCATCTTCCACTGCTGCAGACTCGCAGCATCCCCAAGACCTCTACTGGCCAGGAAAAAAAATAAAAAAATTATCGCCATGAAATATAGTAAGCACCTCAATGGAGCAACCGTGACAGTTTGTTATTATTTGGCGATGGGATACCTTACCTGAAGGCTTTGGTAAAAGATATAGCAAGGCAACATCAGCTCATTAATTTAAAAAACGAGATTCCCCTAGATGACATCGAGGATGGATATATATATTGCAAGGCAAACACCTAGGATCAATATCTAGGACTGATGCATGATTTCAGCAATGCATCAAAACAGCAAACACTATCAATGAAAAAGAAATCAATATATTAATGGGAAGTTAAGGCTGCCGTAAGATTCCAATAATAAATGAATAAAATATATGCTCTTATAAGAATTTTATTTTAATAACCAATAAACACAACAAAGAATTTCATTGCTCAATGACAAAAATAGATCGAAAGTGCTGACTTTCTCATCAAAACTTCAAAGCCTGCATTTAAATGTCACTGAATCAACCACACTACTAGATCTCAAATAAAAGCCGAGAGAAAACACCACCAGTCATACATGAGGGAAAGCATACATTCATTTTATGAAGCAACAATGACATGTAACAAAAGTACTGATACCTCCAACTAAGGTGAAAACACCACTGGTCATACAAGTTGGAAAGCATGCATTCATTTTATGAAGCAACAATGACATGCAACAAAAGTACTGATACCTCCAACTAAGGTTCTCTGGCTTCTCTCTGATTAGAGAATTTGAATTTCCAAGTTAGCTCACTCAGTAAAGTACAGAAAATTGATTACATATGGAGTTCACTGATGCAGAAAACTTACATTTAAAACCTACCAAAGAGGCCAGATGAGCAAAAGAAAACCCACAAAATATCTAAACCGGGTTAGAATTACTAAAGAATTTATCCTTACAGAGAAGTGAAGGCTTGAAAACAAACTCTCGCCAGATCATAAATCTATCTTGAAGAAAGTCTCTGGTGCAAATCGTCACTGAGCGCCTGCCTCAAGCTATCTCCAAAATAATGAAAAGACTTCTCATTCTCAAGCACTCTCACTGGAACCCCACTCTCATCTGGATCCTTCCAAGTCTCTGGCTCTGGTTCCCTTGCAATTTGGCACAAGTTATGCAACACACAGCAAGCAACAATTGTCTGTGGAGCATGATGAAGACCCACATTCAAATCCTGCAAAATCTTCCACCTCCCTTTCAACAATGCAATAGCGTCCACCACTACAGATCTCCCCTTCATCAACATGCCATCAAACAGATTCTGTGCTGGAGTCCCTGACCCATTGGGTGAAAAGGGTGTCATAAGAAATGACAGCAACGGATAACACCAATCCCCAACTATATACGGCCTAACATGATGACCCCTAACATTAATCACCTTATCCCACACAACATCACCTGACACAAGCCTGTTATACAACAAACTCTCCCTCAGATGACTAGCATCATCACTTCCACCCGGTGCCTTCACACACACATCCCAAAACATCTTCTTATGATCTGCCACAACCTGCAACAAAACTGAGGAATATCCATATCGGCATTTATACACATTCCCCTCAATATCCCCACATTTCACCTTAATTGGACTCCCATCAATAGCGCCACACATGTTAGGCAAAGAAGTCAACTCCTCAAATGCCTGGGTAGTCTCAATCAACCTACGTCTACTAACCGGAATCTTAATAAATTCAGGGTAAAGCTTGGTAGCCAGCAATCTAGTAACCATATTAGTAATCTTAGAAATCAAGTAAGGCTCTAAAGAATACCGCGAAGCAAGTGTTTTAGCCGAAAACCCATGTGCTAATCTAGAGAGAACCATACTAACAGCATAATCAGAAGGTAAAGAAAGATTAGAAGCAGTAATATGGGGTTTTAATTTATCAACAACAGTAGTAAAAACAGGATAAGATAACCCGTACAGTGTCCTCCACTGCGCGTCGCGAAGAGGAGCTTCTAATGACCAGATGTGTTCGGTGGAGAGTGCCCGGAAAGCGGAGACGGAGAAGCAGGAGGATTCTGGGTTTGCAGCGGTGGTGGAGGTGGAAGTGGGGGGTTTAGTGGAGGCCGGTTTTTTTTGGGAGGCGAGGTAGGAGAGGAGGGAAGCAAGAGTGAAGAAGAGGAGCGGGGTAGGGGAGGAGGAGGAGAGGAGGGAGGTAGGGGAGGAGGCAGAGGAGGATGAGGGGGAGGAGAGGAGGGGGGTTGATGGGTCTAGGGCGTTGTGGAGGTGGAGGAGATTTGAGAGCATTAACATGAAGGATTCATCCATGGGATTTTGTGGTTAGATTTAGGGTTTCGCCAGAGGGAGGAGGGGGTTCGGGATCTATTTCAGGTGGAAGTGGTGGAGGCAGCAGGGGAGGAAAGAGAAGGTGATGCTTTAGGGTGGAAATTAGGACTCGTTTGGCTGTGAAATGGGGTCTTCTGTTCCGGAAACGTTTCCTTTAGGAGTGGTTCCGGTGAAGTCACCCCTCGATGGTCAGAAACTCAGACCAGTCCCATGGGATTGGCTTGGTTAAGCGAAAGCGAAACTGGTTACTCTGCATGGACCCACCATGGCGTGTTATTTTTTTGTGCGAGGAAGGAAACTACAGTAATTTTGGTAGAAAGTTCGATTGATCACAGTTTATTTTTGCGTGTGAAATTATATTTTAAAAGTAAAGAAGTTTGTTCAGTTTCTTAATTATTTTTAAAAATATCGTCG